AACCATTAAGAAATATTTTACAAGAGTCTTCATAAGTAGCATCTTGCCTCTACCTGAATAATCCTAGTCACGAGAAGCTCCTCACTGCCCGGAACCCATGGAAGCCAAGAAGCCCATGTCAGATTGATATCTACTTCCCTATAATTTTCTACCTCTATTTCTACACTTGCCCTGTTTTCCTTTGATCCTTTAAGTATTTGAAGGCAAATTATTGTCGCCTTTTCCCACCTTTGCCCTAAAGTTCACATGTTTCCAAGGTTAGACTTCATCCTTTGAGAAATCCAATTTGCTGCCAGAGGTACTTGCTAGAATGTACATATTGAAGAGCTTTAAAATTTTTCTCACAACGACCTTATTCTGTAACAACTTATGAAACTGGCCGGTCGTTATTAGATCTCCTTCTGAACCACATTAATCACAGTGAACCCAGATGACATCTGTGCTTTTACAGGAGCTGCAATTCCACCAAAAATATAGTAAAATGTGAAATACTGACAAACCACTGCAGTGTATGGCAGATTGTGATTAGGGCTGAGATTTACTGTAATAGAATTAATCATGATAAATTATTTTAATATTTATGCAAATATGTTGAATACTTACTAGGAATCCAGCTATAATTTAATAATGAACTTCAAGTAAACTCAAACTGTAAAAACATGTTCTCTTTTTTTACTATTAGATGAATATATGTTTCTATTTCATTTTTCCTCACAAATGATATATGTGGGAGTAGAAATTTTAGTTCATTTTTTAAATTACAAAAATCAAAAGTTATCTCATATATTGTTTATTGATGTTTTAGTTAAAGTTTTAAAAGGTCAAATTAATGACCTCAAGCCTCTTGACATCTTCTTCCAACTTCCCAGTTTTTCTTGAGAACTACCAGATTTCCTCCCTGATTTGTTGCTAAGGGACTTAATGTGGGAAAGGTTGATGCATCTACAAATGGGTAAATATAGTCCACCTGATATTGCTGGAGGAACATTTAACAGTGGTATGCAGGAAGTGTCCCACTGCTTTACAAAGGCTCACACCAAATATAAAATGCACTCTTCTTTTTACCACCAGCAGGATTCAAAGAAATTAATAGGCAGATAAAAATACTTTGTACAAAATCATACAACTATTCTAATAAACAAAAAGAATTGAGCAGTACATACTGTTAAAATATATTGTTGTTTTGTAGAAAATAAGACTGAAGTTGGGTAAACAAGAGGAAAAAGTTATAAAAAAAGACCAATTAATTACTAATACATTTCTTGGATCATTCTGTATCTATCTCACTGCAGTACCATACAGAATATGCTAACAGAAGGCTCACAGGTGGAACAAAAAAGAAAAACTAAGATATATAAAAATAAACACTATTGACTTGGCTATCCAGCTTATGATTATCTTAATTAATTCATGAGAATAGATAGAAAATTGATATCAGAATTCCAAAATTAATTTTAATTAAAACTTATTGGGTGATATTGGTTAATTAAATTATATAGATTTCAAGTGTACATTTCTATGACACATCATCTGTATATTGCAGTTTTTACCATCCAAAGTTATATCTTCTTCCATCACCATATATTTGACCCCCTTTACCCTTTACTACCACAACCCCATACCCCTTCCCTCTGATAACCACCATACCGTCATCTGTGTCTATGAGTTTTTGTTTGCTTGTGTTTCTTGTTTGTAAATTGTTCCAAAGTCTATAAAAAGCATACCTGCGCATATAAATATCTGTAAGATTATTTTAGTATATATACATATATTTAGTTCCATTCAAATGTCTGGGATCAACTGTTCCAAAGTATTCCTTTTGTTAAAATATTGGTCATTTGTAAAAATTACAAAGTTTCTCATTTGTGGGCCACACCCAGTAAGCAGCATTTCTGAGTGGATACTATCTACATGGGCTTACTTGCATTGGAGTTTATTTCATATCATATGGAAAGCATTGCTTCTGTCAGCATCCCGTGCTAACGGGAAGACAGCTGAAATAGTCTGAGGCAAAGGACAGTTGGGTCTTGCTGTAAGGCACAATTTAATCATAATGTTCACCAAAATATCTTCAACTTCCTACTCCTCTAAATGGTAGCATTCTTAAGAAAAAGTGAACAATGGTTTCAAGATGAGATACTAAACATGTCAATTTGTATATATAATTGCAGCCTTTTTTGGATATTAAATAGCCTATTTGATAACAAATCACATCTTTAGAAAAAGTTATGAATGTTGAGGCTTAATTCTATTTTTAAACTATATTTAATTTAGTTTTGCAAAAGGCTTTGCAAAGTATCCTAAGAAACTAGTCCTAAGAAAATAATCACAAAGAGAGTGAAACCAAGTTCTGGAAAATATACTTTCACTTCTGGTGGTTTTCCCAGAATAAACAGAAGGATATTCAATTATAAACATTGTTGTAAGATAGCATTGCAATTCTGAAAATTAGGGAAGCCAAATTTTACTTCTAAATTTCACTAGTAACTTACCGAATGACTTAAAGAAAAATTCCAGTTTGGTCTAAATGGCCTGGATTATCTGTAAAGGTCAATTCTACTTACATTAGAACTATTGCTGGTTTGGAAACTTTATAAAGTAACCTAGCTCTTCTAAGTTGTTTTTTTCATGGGCTACCTCATGCTCAAATAAATATGGAATGGCTTTGTCAACTACATTGAAACTTTTAGGTCTAATATAACTAAAGACTCAAATATTAAGGCTCTAGAGCAGTGGTTCTCAACCTTCCTAATGCCGCGACCCTTTAATACAGTTCCTCATGTTGTGGTGATCCCCAATTTCATTGTTACAAATTGAACATAATTAAAGCATAGTGATTAATCACAAAACAACATGTAATTATATATGTGTTTTCCGATGGTCTTAGGCGACCCCTGTGAAAGGGTTGTTCAATCCCCAAAGAGGTCGCGACCCACAGGTTGAGAACCGCTGCTCTAGAGACTCACCTCAAAACATTCTTTAAGAAAACTCTGAGTTATTGACTAAAAATTTTAAATAATATGGAATCTATTGTCATAATACATTTAACAAAATGAAGTCATAATTTTTATCAAACTACAATTTCCTATCTGTATTTTTGTGGGATATGTATGTGTGTGTGTGTGTGTGTTTTGTAGGCTCTATTAATTCATAAGATAGAAAAATAGAATTAATTCAACTTGTTAACTATGTTAGCCAGGATGTATTTGAAAAAGAATACAAAATTTCAGCATACTATATCAATGTTTAATATAATACATCTCAGAAAGACTCAAATGAAAAGAATTCTCATTTAAAATTTATAAAAGCTTATCCTGTGCAGAGAATCTGGAAGTCCAATGTATTGCTGGTGAGAATTCAAAATGGGACAGCCACCTTGGAAAATGATTTGGCAACTTCTTATAAAATTAAACACATTTCCATATGACGTTGCAATCCCACATCTAGGTAGTTTACTCAAGAGAAATAATACATGTCCAAATAGAAACCTGTTCACAAAGTTTACAGAAGCTTTGCTTATGATGTCTAAAATTTGGAAACAACCCAAATACCCCTTAATTAGTAAATAGATAATGGAAATTGTGGTAGATATAGACAATGGAATACCATCCTACATAATAAAAGCCTAATATACTAAGTGTCCATTCGTCCAAAAGTCTATATACTTTATCGACCCATTTATATAACATTCTAGAAAAAGGAGAATTATAGGAAAAGAAATCAGATTAGTGTTGCCAAGGGCTCAAGGGAGGGAGAGGGAATTAACGACATAGGAGAATGGAGAATGGAGAATGATGAAAATATTTTCTATCTTGGTTGTTGAAGGGGCGAGTCGTCGCGGGGCCTATGTGGGCCAGCCGCCGGGCCCCATGAGACACAGCCTGACCACGCTGCTGGCGGCCTCAGGCACCGACTCCCCAGCCCACAGCGGGAGCCTGGCACAGGCCGCCACCCGCCCGCCGCCCCCTGCAGTGGTGGCGGGGCGGGGCGTGTGCCCTTGCCCAAGTAAATGGAAGAT